ACCCAGAATGCTTTGTGTGTAAATAAAATGGCTCCATCCTTAAAATATATCTTAAAAAATTTACAAAACTAACAGCCTACAGTATTTTTACAGTCTTTATTTTGCAGTTCAAAACGTTTTTCAAATTTCTGATTCTTCAGACTTGCTGACTGTAACCTCTCAGAGAAGAGCTGTAAAGCGTTGACGTCAGTTCTCAGCTCCCAGTCTTCTAGTTTGAGAGAGCTGGACCTGAGTAACAACAACCTGCAGGATTCAGGAGTGAAGGCYCTTTCCTCTGGATTGAAGAGTCCACACTGCAAACTGGAAACTCTCAGGTCAGATCTGTTTTTACTTTTGAAAGTTTTTGACTTGCAGAAATTTTATTCATCTTCCTYGAAGATTTTAGATGTTAAACTAGGGCTTGCCACGRGCCGGCCAATTTAAATAAATGTTTGAATTTACTGTTTGTTGGAGACCTGTGTGATCTACTACCATCCAAAATTTGAGCTAAATGTCAAAAATGGCTGAGATATAGTTAATTTTGCATTTTAACTATGGCGGACATCTTGGATTTTTATTTAGCATTCAGAATTTGTCAGAGCTTGTTCATGGCTACCACTATAGCAGTTTTCAGCTCTGTATGTCTTCAAAAGTCAGAAAGTTGGTTACACATTTTAACCCCAGATTCTATGAGTGTAAGCACAGCCCTCTAAGGCTACCGCAGATGGATATCCCTCCGTGCCTCGCGCACATTCTGAATAAACCAATAGTCTATGCCCACGTACCGTGGGGCCCCACCTCGGTCCTTATAAAAGCCAGTTGGACCTATGTATGGCTCCCGAAAGCTTACTTATTCTTCCGCTTCGGAAGCCGGTGAGGCCCCGATTCTTGGAGGGCTGCGCTTACACTCATAGCATCTGGGGTTACAATGCGTAACCAACGTTCTATTTCGTGTAAGTTCCGCCCTCTAAGGCTATCACTGATGGGTATAGAGGCGGAGCCCAATGCAGTCTGCGCCTCACCGGCTTGACCGACTCTTGAAGCTTCCGCCCAAAAAACCCCAGATGTCGCACAAGCAGAGGCTGTGACAACAGCTGACCCACACAGTGAACATCTGCGTCAGCCTGAGTCCATCACATGATTCCAATGATGTGAAGGAAAAAATAAAAGCGCTGTATGTGTAGTGACACTCCAAGCACAGAGTCACAACTTGTCCAACCTATTTGGCAACCTAAAAGCTACTCTGACAAGGTCCTGAGAACAGAGAGTCAGAGAGGAGCCTGAAACATCCCGTAGATAAAAGCGGATGAAGGGACAAGGAGATGACCAGGACGCAGCAGAGCAAATGTCCTGGACTGACATTCCACTCTATAGAGTGGTGGAGGAAGAGATCCCCCTTGTGGAATGAGCCGACAGCGCAGCTGGAGGCTGCAGGCCTGATGAAGCATAAGCCTGAGTAATGGCCTCACAAATCCAAAGTGACAGCCTCTGAAGAGGCAGAGGTTGTTCCACAGACTACTCTCTGTAGTGGACAAACAAGCACTGAGAGCGACTATCTGAGCCGTGCCCGTCACATAACATTAGAGGGAGCACACAGAACACAGCAGGTGGGAGGCTGCCTCCTCCTCAGAAATATGGGGAGGAGGGCAAAGCCATCCAGAGTGACGATTCTGAATCTAAAAGAGCTCGTAAACACCGTACGAGTTTTGAGCAGTAGGAGCCGCCGATTCACGTGCAAAGTCTATGGTGGACGCGCATCTAGGGGTTGTGCGTCACTTCACATACATTTTGGGCGGCGTGCAAGGAAGGAGGAAGGGGCGCAGAGCGTTTGCCGTGCATGCGGTGCTGCGGAAGCAGTCGCCGCCAGAGTTCAAATATCTGAACTTTTTGCCGCTCGACGCGTCTCCCACTGAAAACCGAAACAGACGGACTGGAGATCTTTACCTGAAAGCGACCGTGTGCAGTTGGATTTTCTGGCAGGATATATCAGCACTGATGTGAATCAGCTGTTCGGGACAAAAAAAGTCAGTGAGCTGGCAGCTTCTGGAGTGACGAAACTAACCGAACAAATCGCCTCTAAAACATCTGAGTTAATTATCCACTGTGTGCAATGTTCGCTTGCTTTTTAATAAATAAATCAAAGCCATTTTCTTTTATTTTATCTTTATTCACCCGCCGAGGAAACACTCCTCCCACACCCCGCTGCAGCCGCTGTTGCTGCTTCTCGTTCTGGTCTGAACACCAGTGCGTTCTTCGGTCTGAACATAGTGCATCCAACCTGAGGCGTTTTGCGGTCTGAACATAGTGCATCCAACCTGAGGCGTTTTGCGGTCTGAACATAGTGCATCCAACCTGAGGCGTTTTGCGCTTTTTGGCAGCTCAAAATGCATTCGGTGTGAACGTAGCATTAGGACGCAGGATCGCAGAGTTGCCGACTTCCCGTACCCTGAGGCAGGATGGAGACACAGACAAAGCCGACAGCTGGCTGATTCTTTTCGCTGATCTTAAGCTAATGATAGCACTGTTTTTTGAGACAGAAAACTTGAGGGAGATCTGATCCAAACGCTTAAAAGGAGCTTTAGTCAGGGCGTGTAACAACAGTGAAAAATCCCACTGTGGAGTAAAGGTGAGCATGACAGTCTGTTCCTGCTCACTTAGGAATCGCTTAACCAGTGGATGGTTAAAAACCATCCTATCACCAAAACCCTCGTGACAGGAAGAAATCGCTGCTATGTTTTAACAGCGCTGAAAACCAAATTTCTGCCCATTAGCTTCTGTAAGAAGGTCAAGATGCAGGACAGGGGGCATGAGACTGGGTCTGCATTTATCTCCATACACCAGCGCTGGAAGAATGACCACTTTGCTGTGTAAGATGAGATCGTGGATGCCGCGCGCGCCACCTGAATGGTGCGTACCACATTAGCGGATAAACCCAAATTTATTAAATGATCCCGTTGAGCAGCCAGACCCACAGGGGCTGACCCAGCCTGGGAAATCTCCTGATCGCTCCCCCTGCTTGCAGAAGAGTTTCCTCCTGCCAGGCAGCTGAAACGGAAGGTCTGACAGCAACGACTGGAGGACCGGGAACCAGAGCGCTCATGTACGCTTCAGAATGATCAGAACAACTCGCCTCCAGTCCTCTCTGATCCAATCCAGCAGACGTGGGATCAGAGGAACAGGTGGAAAGGCATAAGCAGTATATCCGGCCACGGACGGTGCGCAGACACGCCCCGTCCAGAGGAGGGTCGTCCTGGGAGCTCAGAGAGAACCAGAGTTGCATTGTGCGTTTCTCTGCTGGCGAACAGGTCCACTTCCTCCCTGCCGAATCTGTCCCAGATTCGCATAATTATGGTCATGTTGCAGGGTCCAGTCCCCATCCCCGGGGACCCCTCCTGGACATGATGTCCACTCCCCTGTTCAGCACACCTGGAATGCAACTCGCTCAGATTGAGCACAAGTGGGAAGTAGTTGTATGCACAGAGGAGAAGCTCTCGGGCTGTGTCCAGCAACGGCCGGGAGTGCATCCCCCCACCCCCACAAATGAAGTAAGCTGTTGCCACTCTGCTCTCCGAGTGGACCAGAACTTGCTGGTCCTAGACCAGATGAGTGAAAAAACACCAGTATTTTTCACATCGTCAGGAGCTCCAGAGCAGTTATGTGGGGAACAGGGTGGAAGACCAGCGGTCTCCCACCGTCTGGGAAAGGCATGTCCACCCCCACCCCGACAGTGACGCATCCCTGAGACTGGCACGTGATGAGTCGCTCTGCTTAGAGGGACTCCTGCTGACAGTGTGTGTGTGTGTGTGTGTGTGTGCGGCTTTCTCCAGTGGATCAGATCTGCTTCCACTGAGGAGGGGATCGATACTATCCTGCGCTTGTGACGTAACAGGTCGATCTTCAGCTGGGAGAACCACTGCTGCAGGCGTCTCGTGTGTAATAGCCCGAGCGGAACCACCGCATGGGCCGCTGTCATCATGCCCAAGAGATGCATGATGGTTAGAGCTGTCACTGAGCTGCGAGGCCTGATATGCGCTTATCAATGAAAGCAGGACCCCCACTCTTTATTTTTTTTTGGTTGGGACAGGCGAGCTGTCATGGTGACTAAGTTCAGATCCACACCCAAAAACAGGATGAGTTAGGCCGGAACGAGAGAACTCTTTTCCCGTTCTATGGAGAAGCTCAGCATCCTCAGGTGTGCTGACAGCTTCTCTGTTTGTGACGCTGCTTCCTGTCTGGATGGAGCCAACAGAAGCAAGTCATCCAGATTAAACAGGATTCTCATTTCCGCTGAGCACAGAGGCTGCAGCGCCGTGTCTACACGCCTGGAGAAAAGGCATGGTGTCAGTGTGTAACGGAAAGGAAGTCGGTTGTACTGGTACCGGGTCTGCTGTTTTCTTGGGAACAAGAAAAACTGGAAGTAAAAAAAACCCTGAATTCCTCCCCACTGGGAATCTTAGAAATGAACTTCCTCGTTCAGGAGTTCCTGAATCTGTGCTTGGAGAGCAAGATCCCGCTGAGGAGACAACAGGAGGGTCTCCAGGATCTCGCCGAACCGGGGAGGCATAGTTGCAAACTGTAGCCTGTAGCCCGTACTTATCAAGTGCTTCATCCACTTGCCCAAGGGACAAAAGTGTTCCCAGACCGTGCTGCACTCTGAAAGAACTCGCGCATGCACAGGTTGCTGAGCGGTTGTTGTAGCAACACTCAGAGCCTAGCCACCGTCACGCTCTCTTGTGTGACCTTTGGGGGGCTGTGCTCCAAAGGCCCATGCAGGAGCTCCAGGGAGCCCTGCTTGCCATCGATGTTTTGACGTGACCCGAGAGGGGCTACCTCTGGGACCGTACGTGAGCACGAGTTCAAGCTAGTTCAGCAGAGCCAGACACAGCTCATCTTGCGCTGTGATTGGTGGGTTTATGCTGCAACGGGGGTGAAACAACGCACCCCTGCTTGTGACATGGCTCATGTTGACTGTCTTCTCCTACGTCCGCCGTTGGCCGGCAGGATGAAGAGGAGAAAGTGTGTGCGTTCGATGGCCACAAGGGGCGGAATGAACCACAGAATGTGAAAAAACGGTGGGAGAGGAGAATGTTGTGTGACTGTAATGGTAAAGACCAGAGGCTGGCTAGGCACAAGATTAGCGGCTTAGTCTTGCCCAGAGTGGAGCAAACGTGTGAGACAGACAGCGTCCTGAGACCTGACTGAACTGGACACTTGTGAGAGGAATTTGTCCCTTTTAGGGGAAGATGATTACTCACAATCATCAAAACACACATTTCTCCTGCTTCCAAGCCATGATGCGGGACGCACACACGGCCTAAGCGGCGCAGAGATTCAAACTTGTGCCGGCCGCTGCGCGGAGGTCCTGTAGCACCTCACTCTCCGCTGCTCTTGAAAAGTTGACGGCATGGAGAGTAGTGGTGTTGTTGGTTGCAGCTCCCGACTGTGCCGCACGTTGGCGGAACCGATCGGTCCAGCTGCCAAGCTTCTGGTCCACTGTTTGTGAGGGAAAGGTTGCCTTCCGGCAGACCATACCGTCTCAGTGCCAAAGACCGTGGAAGGCGCAGGTTCCAGCTCAGGAACGGGCGGGAACTGTAGTCGGTCATCCCTTCCCTTCGACCTTCATCACGTCCGCGTGGAACGAGACCGAAGCTCTCAACTCTGAATAAGTAACTCTTAGCATGCTAACTAGCATCTCCATGCTAGGGGCAAAAACTTGCATTGTCTAAATGGTCTGAAAAGCTTCCAGACCAGTCCTGGCTGGGAGCACCGACAACTGAAGGCCTCAAAAAACTGCTAGCTTACACATCCGTGTTACGAGCATGCTAGCAGCGACCCTCGAATGGTCTGGTCAAGCTATTTAGCATCTCCAAGGCTAAAAGCTACACCAAGCAGCAGCACAGATGACTCCGGCCTCTCCACTGAGAAGCAGGAACAGGACGCCTGCCAAATGTCAGAGCTCGACTTAGCTTAGCTAGGTGGCTAGCTAACTAGCTGGCTTAGCTAGTTTCCCACTGAGTTTCAGGCGGGAAAAACTCAGCTAGGCTAGTCTCCCTCCTCGGAGGAAGATAGCTCTGACCATGATGCAGATGAGAAACGCGTCGTCTGACTGGTCTGAAAAAGCTTCCAGTCCTGGTTGGGAGCGTCGACAACTGAAGGCCTCAAAACACTTCTAGCTAAGACATCCGTGTTACGAGCGAGCTAGTAGCGGCCTTCAAATGGTTTGGTCAAGCTAATTAGCGCATTCAAGGCTAGAAGCTACACCAAGCAGCCGTACAACTGACCATGACTTCTCCACTGAGAAGTGAGGACAGGATGCCTGCCGAATGTCAGGGTAATTCACTCGTATCCCGTCAGCGTTAGTGGGGACTTCTCTAAGTCCAATGCAAGGGATTGCGCCCGACTTAGCTTAGCTAGGAGGTTAGGTAGCCACCTGGCTTAGCCAGTTTACCGCCGTGTCTCAGACGGGAACTTGGCTAGCTAGGCCCTCCCTCCACAGAGGGAGATAATCAGACCATATTGGAGACGAGTAAGGAAAAAAACCACATGAACCGAGACTCCTTGAGTCCACGTGGTATGCACGAAAATGTCCGGCGCCTAGCTTAGCATAACACCCCGCCGCGGGAAAACCCACGGGAAAATATTAGCTAGCTTCGATCACCCTTCTCCGAGGAAGGAACCCGGAGTAAAAAACGGGTCATGCCGGGGTTAACCGAACCTCGAACAGCCCGGTAATGGCAGTACACGGATTATAGCTGGTGGCGCTGGACATGAGTTCCATGCTGATATAAAAGAAATCATAGGACTTACATGTATGTGGCATCTTCTATGGTTACATGTAGAATGCCGAAGCTGAAGAAAAATGAGGGAGACATACATCGGTTTGACCGGCTTTTATACGGACCGAGGTGGGGCCCCACCGTACGTGGGCGTAGACTATTGGTTTATTCAGAAGGGGCGTGGAGGGATACCCATCTGCGATAGCCTTAGAGGGCGGAGCTTACAAGAAATAGAACTACAGCCTTTTAAAAAAATTAGCATCAGCTTTTTATGTCTTAAAACTGCTGAGCAATCTGGGTGCCATGTTGAATTACAGAAAGTCACTTTGTTTTGTAACTCAAGAGGCTACTCTGCCCAGTAACAGCCTCAGCCAATCAGAAGGTCAGATTGTGATGTAGCCTAGTTGCAAGGWAGGGCAGAACAGCTGCTCAGAACCTAACAACATGAGAAAATCTCTGTTTAGTTTCTTTGATTAAGGAGATCTGAACATTTTTTATCCTTGGGATGAATCYGTCTCTGTCTCACAAGGTTTGAAAAACGACACACTGAGAGGGYCAAACACTGAGCTGATTTTCTTGCTTTTGTTTTAGACTTCAATTCTGCAAGCTTTCAGGTAAATCTTGTGAAGTGCTGTCATCAGTTCTCCGCTCGCAGACCTGTGCTCTGATGGAAGTTGACCTGCGCAACAACAACCTGCAGGGTTCAGAGAGGAAGATGGTGCCTGGTGGACCAGAGAAATCAAARGGGACTCTTGAAATTTTCAGGTGAGGATACCTCAAACTGTTTAAAATATATTTTAATAAACAACAGTGTGCACAAAGAAGTACTGCTTCACCAACAACAGTACAATGGTGTTGTTGAAAATAATTGTTTTATGTTGACTCATAACAAAATGAACAGTTTTAAATTTTTTTGAGACTTTATTTTAAGAGAGCTGAGAGTTCTGGCTTTGTTTCTGTTTAATAAAGAATGACTCAATAGAATCTGTCATGCGTGGACCTGAGGCTATTGAACAATTTTAGAACCTAAAAGACTTGGTTATTTTTTTAATGCCAAAAACTAAATAATGAGTAGACTTTGGGCCAGAAGTTGGAGGACCGGTTTCTCTGTTGGCTGGTTTCAAATCCTCCTCTCTCCTTGCAAARAAACAATAACTCTCCTTCTAACATATATAAATAAATAAAACACACCGCAGATATGTTTTCTTTCAGTGCTATTTTGTTCATTCATGTAGCTTTGAATTTACATGTTGAACAAACCTGATCTAAACCTCCTCCCCCACCTCTCATTTTAGTGGGGGATCTGCCGGAGTTCGATGGTTGCAACCAGGACTGAGGAAATGTGAGTTAATAATAATAATAATAATAAAAATATTAATAGGCACAAATGTCATTAATTTTGGGCTTATAATGGTTTATTTGAACTATTCTTTTCAAAGGCAGAGTGATAATAGAACATACAAGTTTATTCATTTATTTGTTCTCTTTATCAGATTCACATCAACCTAAATTCGACAAAGACACYCTGAACAGAAACCTCAAACTGTTMGACAACAGGACAGTGGTTTATGTGGAGGAGGTGCAGCCATACTCTGATCACCCAGACAGATTTGATTTTGATCCTCAGCTTCTGTGTAAAGCTCCTCTGAGTGGTCGCTCTTACTGGGAGGTGCAGTGGAATGGACAAGTATCCATATGTGTGAGCTCCAGAGGAATCCACAGGAGTGGAGACGGCAGAGACTGTGTGTTCGGATGCAACTCTCACTCCTGGAGTCTGAGCTGCTCTGATGAAGGTCGTTACTCTGCCTGGCACAATAACAGAGAAACACCCATCTGCTCCTCCTCTGTCTGTAACAGGGCAGCAGTTTATGTTGACCTTCCTAACAATGTTCTGTCTTTCTACGATGTCTCCTCTGACTCTCTGATCCACCTGCACACCTTCAACACCACGTTCACTGAACAAGTTTATCCTGGGTTTGCCCTCCTGTCCTCTGGTTCCTCAGTGTCTCTGTGTTCAGAATGAAGAGTCTTATGGGGACCACTTGGTTATTTCCTGTAAGGTTTGGGTTTGATCAGTTCTGCTGCTTGACACCAGATTTGTCTCGAACTTTTTATTGAATTGTTGCATTTTTAGTGTAGCCTGAGTCTTTAGATTGCAGGCTTCTGGCGTGTTAGTGCCTTTAAAATGAAATAATATTCATTTAAAACATCTTGTCTTACTCAGCACTTAGATATCAGTTTATTTATTAACCTGCCTCGTGTCATGGGGGTTGGGTCTCGGTCCTCCACAGTCACTATTAAATATTCCATTGGAGAAATCTTGTATATACACGCATGTTCACCACTACTCACAAACAGGTGTTCTGATCCGGGGGGTTCTGACAGGTCACTGAGTGTTTATATACACTCACCGGCCACTTTATTGGGTACACCTGTCCAACTGCTCGTTAACACTTAATTTCTAATCAGCCAATCACATGGCGGCAACTCAGTGCATTTAGGCATGTAGACATGGTCAAGACAATCTCCTGCAGTTCAAACCGAGCATCAGTATGGGGAAGAAAGGTGATTTGAGTGCCTTTGAACGTGGCATGGTTGTTGGTGCCAGAAGGGCTGGTCTGAGTATTTCAGAAACTGCTGATCTACTGGGATTTTCACGCACAACCATCTCTAGGGTTTACAGAGAATGGTCCGAAAAAGAAAAAACATCCAGTGAGCGGCAGTCCTGTGGGCGGAAATGCCTTGTTGATGCCAGAGGTCAGAGGAGAATGAGCAGACTGGTTCGAGCTGATAGAAAGGCAACAGTGACTCAAATAACCACCCGTTACAACCAAGGTAGGCAGAAGAGCATCTCTGAATGCACAGTACGTCGAACTTTGAGGCAGATGGGCTTCAGCAGCAGAAGACCACACCGGGTGCCACTCCTTTCAGCTAAGAACAGGAAACTGAGGCTACAATTTGCACAAGCTCATCGAAATTGGACAAGAGAAGATTGGAAAAACGTTGCCTGGTCTGATGAGTCTCGATTTCTGCTGCGACATTCGGATGGTAGGGTCAGAATTTGGCGTCAACAACATGAAAGCATGGATCCATCCTGCCTTGTATCAACGGTTCAGGCTGGTGGTGGTGGTGTCATGGTGTGGGGAATCTTTTCTTGGCACTCTTTGGGCCCCTTGGTACCAATTGAGCATCGTTGCAACGCCACAGCCTACCTGAGTATTGTTGCTGACCATGTCCATCCCTTTATGACCACAAAACCGTTACTAGCATGGTGTACCTAATAAAGTGGCCGGTGAGTGTATGTCTGTGTGTATATACTGACAATATTTATGAATGTAGGCATGTATGTATGTATATCTTTATATATGTATGGGTATGTGTATATTTTTATATATGCCCTCCATGTATTTATCCATTTATTTTTCAGGTGAGCGGACAGATGTTGGGTGTGTGGTCCTGTGTTTTGTTGGTGTATATTTAATATACTTCTAATCGCTATTTCAATCTTTCTAATCACTTCTCTCTCTGTTTTTCTCTCTGTCTCTATTTTCTCTTCACTTAAAAAAAAGTTTATTTATTAACCTGTGGTGGTTTTCATTACTTTACTTTTGATTTGGTCAACTTTATGCATTTTAAAGTGTTTTTTTAATGTCTCAGTTTCATCGTCTGTTTTTGGTGTTTTCCTCGGTTTTATTAGCATCATTATTATTTTATTTACATTTGTGTTTGAAAAATGCCTTATGAATGAGMTTTAGGTGATTTGATACTGTTCCTACAAAACGTGTTTCAGAATCAGAAACATTTATTGATCCCAGAGAGAAATTAACGGTTATTACAGCAGCAACTGCAAAATAATAAAAAGAGAAAAAAAGTATACTCGAATAAAAAAGGTGTAAACACTTTGAAGAAAAACACTTTATTTTATATATTCACAAATACTTTATAAATCCTCTTATTACTGTAGATTTTACACTTGTGTGTATTTTAAATGTAAGGTGATCGAAGGTCTTGTAATTAATGCAACAATCTGTGATAAAATCATATTCCCTCTCCATACTCCATAATCTGTTCATAATCAAGTCTTAAACACAAATGAAGGATTTTGTTCTTCTGTTTATTGACATTTTCCAGGCATGTTTATATGTGAATYAGAAGATATTGATACTTTGTATTGTACCTCTTGATTGTAAATAAAACACGTTTCTTTGACTCTGCTGAACATCTTGATTTTTCAGAAAGTTCCACAAAAAATGCAGAAAAACTCRCTCTGCTTTTACATGTGCAATAATAAAAACATGCAAAAGAAGCAAATAAAGCATTTAAATGACCCTAATGTTTAGCAGTTGTTACAGCTTTGAAATAGAACAACAAAAATYTCATTTTGTTTTGTTGAAACTATCAAACAGCTGCTGACAACAGAGAATAATGGGAGAGTTTACTGATGAACGTGTGACATGTGTCTGTGTGACGCTGTCATATTATCATAAACAATGTCAATTTTATTTGTACAGCACATAAAAAAACAAGTTGGCCAAAGTGCTTCACAATTAAGCCAAACGAATAAAACAATTGCGCAACACGTAAATGTAGACAGTAAAAATCATTTAAAAATACAGAAAAACATTAAAACATTATTAAAAGAATCTCAAACTCTACCAGAATGAAAGAGTAAATGTGAGTTTTAAGTAGAGATTTAAAGGTCTCAACAGTCTGTATGCTAAATGGTAAATCCAGAGATCCTGTGTTTGTGTCTCATTTCAGATGAGAATGCMACACAACTGTCATCTACTGGACTCATCCTTATTTTAAATCGTGTCTTGATACGCAGGTACTTTAAAGAACTAACTGAATAATAAAACCTACATTTGCAGATGTTATTTAACAGCCACAATTCACCGTAAACTAAATTAAACTAAACTATTCTGAAATGTCGAACAGGAAATGTAATTTAATTAAATTTTTTTCTCATCTAGTTGTGTTTTTTCTGGTGTCATGACAGAACATCTGGTTATTTATGGATGTAAACTTGATTCTTTTCTGACTGTCACTTCTGAATTATGGCCCCAACAGTGCTCACTGGAACCTTCAGAAGTTTAGACATTCTTCTGTAACCGATGCCATCATTATGCTTTGCAACAATAAGGTTGTGAAGGTCTTGAGAGAGCTCTTTACTTTAACCCATCATCAGATGGTTCTTGTGTGATACCTGGCCATCATTTGGGACTGAACCAGCTGATATTAACTTGCACTGACAAGGGGCAGGCTTGCTTTCTAATTACTGAGAGAGTTCAGCTGGTGTCTTGGCTTTCCATGCCTTTTTACACCTCCCTTTCTTCATGTGTTCAATACTTTTTCCCAGTGCCATTCCACATTATTACAAATAACTTCATTTCTGGACATTTATGGTTTGATTTCTTTGTATGTATGGATCACTTGGGTTGTTACCYACATCTGGTGAAAATTTCATGTCATTAGCACCTCTAGTAATTTTTACTGAGAAAAATGGTGACGTGTTCAATACTTATTTTACCCGCTGTAAAACACCCTTATTTKTGTTACATCGTTAAAAAAACATGTAAATTATGCTAAAAGACTAAGATTTGCTGCAGATGTTCTGATTTCTCCAGATGTTTTAGTGTCTGAGACACGAGGAGCTGCTGATTCTGTTTGTTGTTTTGGAATCAAGAACGAATCTGAAGAAACTCTAACTTTCTAATTCTGATCTAAAGATCTGGGTTCAAAACTTTAAATGAATTTTCTCAGCTGTTTTAGTCCGAATAAAATTAAARAGAATTAGTTCAGATCTCGTCAGCTGTCGAGGAGGCGGGTCAGAACTCTGAACCCTCTGAGGGTCAGTGGTCAGGATCTCATCCAAGCTCACCTGAAGCAGGTCTGGAGGGTCTGCTTCTGGTGAATGAAATCAAAGGAGACTCTCTGCTGGAGCAACTTGTTACTGAAGTTATTAAAGTTTCAAACACTTTAGTTTGATTTCTTCACCATCATGACCTTTGTGTCAGAGAAACCACAGTGGAGGAGGGATTTTTAAAAACATTACAAACTGAAACAACCTGCATGAAATGAGCAGCAAATAGTCTGCTGTGAAAAAACAATGACACCCTATAGAAAGAGTGAAGTCAGTTCAGACTGAGGGCTGCAGAAACACATCTGGTTTTTAGTTCAAACTCCTCCCAGCTGCAGTTTCACAGTTTTCTGCAGAAACAACTTGTTTTTGTTTTGTTCCTTCATCATTTCATGCAGTGAGAACAAGTCCGACTGCTGAGGGCTCTTACGTATTTACTTTTACATAACCCTAACCACATATTTGTTCATTTGGGACATGTTTTTCTACTCAGCTCATCAGAAATCTTCATCCAGCTGATGAGAGTCGAGTTCTAAGAGCTAAAAAGGCTAAAACTAAAATTTAATAAATATAAAGTGAACAGTTTTCCAAACTTTCTAATAATTTCTTTTGATGTTGTAAAATTATCAATCAGTAGAATTGGAGTGGATAATCATAAACATAACTAAAAGACTGRATGAATTAAGATTTACGATAAAAACACAGAATTTGAATTTTAAAYAATAAAATCAACAAACAAACTCATCTGATTGTTCAGTTCTGTCAAACCATCTTAGAACAGCAGAAATCTCTTTGGGTCAGCAGAATAAAAGTTCCTGTCACAGTGGAGACTTGTGAAACACAAAGCACTCATGTTAGCCGGTGAGTCAAACACATGAGGAAGTCRACGCTGACAGAAACAAATCAAACAGGAGGAGTGGCTTCAAGAAAATATGAAGCTTAATTAAATATTTTAACTTCTTATTTAGGTCATAGTTCCATCCATCCATTTTCTGTACACGCTTCTTCCTTTCAGGGTTGCGTGGGTCACTGGTGCCCATACCCAGCAGTCACAGTGTGAGGGGCGGGGTACACCCTGGACAGGTCTCCAGGCCATCACAGGGACAGACATATAGAGACAAACAACCATTCACTCCCTCACTCGCTCATTAACAATGTCTATGAT